ACTGGCAGTAAATGTACAATTAGAAGCATATCATATATATTTATTTTTTTACGTTCATTAGTGTACATTTTGTTACCTATAAATGATTTTAAATTTTGTAATTTTTGAACTTGTTATTCATATAGAAATGTTATATAAACGCGCTGAAACACTAAACATCTAAAGGCATCTTAACAAATGAGTAAGAGGTGGAATGAAATCGCGTCTGCTCCGCCCATAGACGTGGGGACTCAAGAATTCAATCAGATTCAGTGCGCAGTGATCTCGTAAGGGCGCGTGCATAAATAACGCGCGTCCGCTTCCATCCGCCCGATGGATCCTGGAGGAGTTATTACCCGACATCACGATTGATGTGCCACTAACGTGCGTGCAATGATTTATTTTGTATTGAGACAATTTTTTTGTCTTTTAAACAAGCTTCTTGACAACTAAACAATTGTTCTAATATGGCTTAATACAGATTATACGCTGTGATGTTCAAAGATGATAGATTTTTTTGCCTCAAAGTCTTACACAGTCCTGCCAAATCCCATATAATATATACCCAATAAAGTTTTTAACTAAACATTGTTCTTTATCTTAACGTTCTTTTTAAACTTGGAATTAAGTGGTACGAAAATGTAATATTGAAATCGGCTATTGAAGTTGCGTGGTAAGCTTGCTTAAAAGAAATATCTTTCAATCAATCCTCGCTTAGTATATTCGACGCGACCATTCGTCTAGCCTTATAGACTTAGGTCGCTCCACCTGTTTACAATTTATTAAGGATTTATCTAGTACTACAAAATTCGTTGTATTTTATCTACTCGTTATCGTGTCGTGGCACATGACGTTATTGTTTAAACAAAGATTCTTAATAATACAAAATTTATGAACAAAACATATTTAAAAGTCATGAAAAATTCAAATTATTTGTTCGTTCTTTACATAGCTACATTATAATAATTCAAGGGCAAAAATAATTTATTCATATAATATAGGTATCACAATGTACACTTATGAACGTAAAAAAAGAAATAAACATAAAATGCTTCTAATTTTACATTTACTGCCAGTTCTCAAATCAAGGGCGTAGAACGGAAGAGAAGAACTGGTAAAAAATATTCTCCTTCATCATCATCAGCCGCTTTATTTAGTCCATTTCTGGATGTAGGGCTCCTCCATATTCCTCCAGTACGTCCTCTCTGCATCCATTGGAAGCCAACCTCCTTGATGTCGTGACCTAGTCGGTGGGCGGCCGCGCGGTCTTCATTCAAGGGTCCATCTGTTCTTGTCTATGCGCGCTATGTATAACACACACATTATCGTGTACGTGTACACATGTGGCGCGATCTTGTAAGTGCTTCAAAACAATAATGTATCGCTTTTTTCTTTACAAGCCATGCTTCTAGTATATCGAAAGCCTTTTCATAGTCTACGAATGTGATGATGATAGGCTTTTGGTACTCGTAACATTTCTGGAAAAGGGTTTTATTTGTTTGCAGATGATCGCAAGTGCTATAATAACCCGTTCGGAATCCAGCTTGCTCTCGTGGTTGATACGCGTCTAGTGTACTGTTTAGTTTGTTGACTAGAGTTCTACTAAAGCGCTTGTAAATATGCGAGAGAAGAATGATAGGCCGATAATTGTTCAGTTAATCCAGTTTCTTCAGATCCCCTTTTTTTGTATCAGTTTTATAAAGGCGTTGTTCCATGAAGACGGGACCACACCTACAATTAAGAGCTGAGTTCGTCGGGAGGAGCCTTAAGCATTTCTGCAAACCTATATAATGAGAAATCTATCTTGAACACACGGATTATTCGAACACTCATTCGTTTCTCTTCTAATAACTTGGTCCGACACCAAACCTTACATGGCGACCCTGCCAGCAGAATTAGTTTGCGCGTCGCGAATTTGAGACGTTGTTCGATATTACAATGGAGAGAGTGAAGTTTTATTATTTCAACGGTTTAGACGTACGCGTGAAAATGGGAGAAAAAGTTCTAAGGAAGAGAGCGTCATGTGACAAACGCGGCTGCCGAAGATAATCACCTGGAAATACGTTTTCAGATGTCCACGACCAACATAATACTTGCTGTTATTCTGCTCGTAATCCTGATTGGTTTTTCACGCTTTATATTAGCTTCACCTGTATGTATGTATGTTTGTATGTAACCGACTCCTTCGGACTCGATTTTGACCCACATTAAACGGACAGATTTAATTCAAACTTTGTACACTTATAAAAAATCAGCGACAATATAATAATTTCATAGGTTTATCACGAAAAAACAATGAAATTTTTTTTAAGTCCACAAAGCAATACGATTAAATTGAGACAACACGTATTGCTGCTAGGACTAAAAAGTGGAAAATAAATCCTAATTTAGGCTGAAAATGGTAATGAACAAAAAATACTGGTATTATTGTGAAAAAGCGTGGCGCGCTCTGTGCCATATTTTTCGTCTATCGAGCAATCCACGCTTTTTCACAATAATACCAGTATTTTTTGTTCATTACCATTTTCAGCCTAAATTAGGAATTATTCATGTTTTATCTACGAATTCTACAGGAAATGCCACATGAAATGGTTCGGTGAAGAAATTTACCGTTCTTCCTTGAGATGGTGGATTTATTGTCGTCAGCAACAACCACCCGTTTCGAACCCAGGCGAAAATTCAAAATCTATCCTTACGTTGGAACTGCGATGTTAAATCGTTTTGAGCGTTGCAATTTTAATAATCTTAATATATATAAATTACTGTTACTGTGTTAAAAGTACGAACGTTTCACATAAGTTCTCCTACCGTTTCCCTTGAATAGTCTACTAGTATGTAATATAACAAAAACCTTAGCCACAGCAACGCTTGGTCGGTCTGCTAATAAATTATATAATTATTATAATTAAGCTTAAATGAAAAACGTTAAGTAGGTATAATAAGTCAATAAAATGAAAAGCAGTGTAACAAAAAAGATAATATGAAAAACAAAGTTCTATAGAGCGATATCACTGTGCTATATTTTTACTTTTGTATATGTACCAGCTTTAGTGGTAATATATGTGTCACAGGTACATAATATATTTATTTATAAAAGCTTGCCAACACTCGGCACACTGATACATTGGTATGATTCTAATACGCAATATACTGAGATAAAACCAAGTGTGTCATTAAATCAGCTTTTTCGTGACCAATAATAGAAATAATATTATCTTAAGCTTAGGTTTCCTAGAAAAGCGGTGTCGTTATCTAACGGCCGTAATGTAGCGTTGGGTGACGTCACCCACACGTTGTCTATAAATAACATCGGAGTAGGTTTCCTAGAGAACGTTGAGTGTCACCGTAACGTCAAATAGCGGTGCTGTCATTTGCACGACGGCCGTCATAGCGGTGATAAACTTTAGTTCAACGTTTTTCGCGTGTAGCGGTGCCCATATTGAAGTGATACAATGAGTTGAAACGTGACTTGGTCGAGCGAAAATGATGCTTTTTTGCATTATGTTAAAAAGTAACGACGGCCGTTATTAACAACCGTAAAATGACGGCCGTTAGCTAACGGCACCGCTCTTCTAGGAAACCTAAGCTTTAGCTAGCGATTGTAACTGTTTCGTTTTTTATATTCATCATTACGTCATGGAAAAGATCATCATTTGCTAGTAGATTCGAGTGCCTCATTATCAGCGTATGCAAAAACATGCGCTTGAATATAATATTCCAATCCATAAAGAAAACATAAACGTTACTAGATTAGGAGGTACAGTCCAAGCCAAGATACCTTTAGGCCGTGATTTTTTAAACAAATACAAGGCATTGGATTTCTGTAAAAACATTTTAAATTTATCTAAAATGAGATACCAACCTATTTCTTTGCCAATCATAAATGAAGATAAAGTTGTCAACAATATCCCAGATAGATCAGAATCAATACACTTTATTCGAATTAATATGTAAGTCTTAGATGAAATTAAGCAGTCTTTAATTTCATCTAAGGAAATAAAAAAAGGCGTGTAGGCTAAAAATGTGTTAATAAAAATGTCACAATTGAACGTAGAAGCATCCGTTGTTCTCTGGTATCTGTAGAAGTGGCATTAGTGAATAAATTTATCCTTAGATATGGAGTTCCGAGAGAGATTGCAACGGACAGAAGAATAGATTTTCTATCAGAAATATTCCAAGAGGTTTGTAAATTACTTAATATCAAACAACTAAACTTTACAGCTATCATCAATCGCTGTGAGCTGTGAAAGTCACACACAGAAACTTGAATGCGTTTCTACATATTCAGACCGATAACCATCCTGAATTTTGGGGTAAGTGGAGCGTTCAAATATTACGTAACGTATTTTTTTGTCCTTTTGTAAAACGTACCATGCGGGGCGGGGATTAAATTACGCGTTATTATTAATATTTTTTTCGACTTACACCACATAATTGTAACTAAAGAGTCACTAGGTGGTCAAAAAACGTTTTACTATACTTGGGTACAGTACTGTACTTGGGTACTGAAAAACGTTACGGCGAGTTACATGGGGGGAGGTCAATAATCTCCAAAAATTGCGTTACGTAATACTTGAACGCTCCCTAAGTGGATACTATATTGGTTTTTCGCCTACAACGCAACAGTACATTCAGAGTCAGGTTTTACTCCTTTTGAATTGGTATTTGGTAAGAATTGTGCTCTACCCAGTACCTTATCAAAAAAATTAGAACCTTTATTCAATTATGAAAATTATGTCTGAGAAATGAAATACCTGTTGCAATTTTCTCAAAAGGAGGTTTGTTTAATGGTTAAGTATGTAGGGAACTTAGATATGATCAAAATATTAATCCTATTAGTAATAAGGAAAATGATGTGATAATTATTAAAATAATTAAAAATAATAGATTTTTTTGTAGTATGAAATATTCAACGCATTCTATGTATAACCTACTTTATATACCTAAACGTATATAATAAGAATTCTGTCTTGAACACACGGAGTATTATTCGAACACTCGTTCTCGTTACACTTCGAAAAATGAAATTTGACGTAAATAATTTACTGGCCAGTGACACATGGGAATCGTTTCTTCAGTGGATCATACGTATTTTCGCCGTAAGTCAAACTATTTCAACAGATTGGCCTAATTCCTACGAAATAAAAGGTACGTCAACAACATATTTTATTATCTTAAGTTAACGCGAATCTATTACATTATTTAATAAAGAATGCTTTTCAACACTCGTGGTCAGAGGACATTATTATATTGAATATTCATTAATTGTTTTAATATGTTTAATTTACAGTACAATTTGTTTGTAAATCATCATAATATCATGATTTGAGTCATGAAACCTTGCCATATAACGCCATCCTTTACCTGCAAAAGCACTCGTAAATAATGTAATATGTTCCTGTTTATAACCGTTAAAGATTTATTATTTAAATTATTTCGTAAAGTAATAGTCTTGTGGTATATATAGTGTCAAGACGGGAGATACATATATATATCTACCGTACTGTACCTATGTACTGTCAGCATATATATAGTAGAGTTACGTGAGAACACAGAAATTGTACTGTAAAAAATCTATATTTTTGTAATTGAGTAATCTATTATAAATGCTGAATTAATCTTGCTCTTTCTTAAAAACTTGCTCTTCTTAGATGGAGACAGCTTTGACTTCATCGTGGTGGGTGCGGGGTCCGGTGGCGCTGTAGTTGCAACGAGACTCAGTGAGATATATCACTGGCGTGTTTTGCTAATCGAGGCTGGGGGAGATCCACCATATGGAAGTGTGGTATGTTTATAGAAAGCTGTATGTTATTTATTACTACATACGTATAAAATAACGTACTTTAGTATAGTACTCTGTTGCCTGATTTTTGCCATTTGACCTATCTAAGAATACAGCACTGCGCATTATAGTTGAAAGTACGGGCTGCGTGGTCAATATTAAATAAAATAATTAACTGAAAGTTTATAATTAATATATATTTCCAGGCACCAGGGCTATATCATGACCTAGTCCGAACGGAATATGATTGGGATTATGATGCTTTTTTGGACCCTGAAGTGGGACAAGCACACCCGGGAGGACTTATTCATCTCGTCCGCGGAAAGATGCTAGGAGGAACTTCATCTATTAACTACCAAATTTATTCAAGGGGAGTTAAAGAGGATTATGATGGGTGGAATAAAGTAGCACCAGGTTGGGGGTGGGAATCAGCTTTCAAATATTTTCAAAAACTGGAAAATATGACCGATTACTCGGTCTTGGCAAATCCTGAAAACGCAAAACTTCATTCACAGCAAGGTCCTGTTGCTGTATCAAGGCCAAAAATTTTAAAATATGAAAAAATCCATCGAACAGTATTAAATTCATTTGAAGAATTAGGCCTTGAAACAGTTCTAGAAAATAATGGACCAGAGAATGTTGGCATGTCTACACCTCATTTTAATTATGCAAACGGTAGAAGATCGAGCACAGCTGAAGCTTATTTAAGACCAGCAATGGATAGGCATAACTTCTATATTGCAAAATTCGCTAGAGTCATAAAAGTTCATATAAATCCCGATAATTTGGAAGCTAACGGTGTTCGCGTGATTCTTAACAGTGGTGAAGAAGTTAATATTAGTGCGAAAAAGGAGGTTATTCTTTCCGCAGGGACTATAGATACACCAAAGATATTAATGTTATCTGGTGTAGGACCTCAAGAAGTTTTGAAAAAATTTAACATCAATGTTCTAGCAGACCTTCCCGTCGGTAAGAATATGCAAGATCATCAAGCGGTACGAATAATGTTTACAGGCGCAGAGAGTTACAAAACTGACACACCTATTGATTTGGAAGCATTAAGAATAGTAACTGTACCAATGCAAATTGGGTTTATGAGCCTTAATAATAGTTATTCAACTGAATTTAAACATCTGTATGATGAAAGACCACAAATTCAAATAATCAATGTTAGGAAACCGCCAACATCTCATATTGATGTAAATATAGACAATTGTCAGACTATGTTCAACTTTGATCAAGAATACTGCTCATCATTTAGCAAGGCTCATATATTTAGAGAGACGGACACTATTTCAATGCTGCTATTGCATCCCTTATCTAAAGGACAAGTGACAATAAAGAGTGCTGATCCAAATGATGCTCCGTTAATAAAACTGGGATATTTTAGTCACCCACATGATGTCCTAGTCGCAAGGGAAGGCATAAAGTTTTTGACCGGTCTAGTAAATACAACATATTATAAACAATTTGGCAGTGAAGTTGTGAAACTACGAGTGAAGGGTTGTGAAAGTTTAACATGGGGTTCCGATGAGTATTGGGACTGTTACATTGTGAATAGTGTCGTCTCATTCCTTCATCCTGTAGGAACCTGCCGGATGGGCCCAGGTGGTGTGGTAGATGAGAGATTAAGGGTTCGTAATATTTTGAAACTGAGGGTTGTGGACGCATCCGTTATGCCTGAAGAACCAAGTGGAAACACTAATGTGCCGACGATGATGATTGGGGAAAAAGCAGCTGACATGATTAAAGAAGAATATGGGGTTTAAAAGTTATTAAAATTATGATAAGTACTTATTAAACATAAATGAAGAATAAAAGTACTTGTTTTATAATATATGAAAATATGCCAGTTACCTTTTAATAATATAGTCTTCATGGTGCGAGATTTTTCGAACGGAAAATGCAAGCGTGCCCTAAAGAAAAGCTTATGATTACTATCTCGGATCCAGGGTCTGTAAAACATTGCAACTTACAATAAGGTTTGTTAAATATATTTTTAGTGTTTTTTTTTTAAATAAAAAGATAATAGTAAAAATTCTATCACTCAGTTTGTTGAATCTATGTCCTCAAAGTTCTATTGCAAAGGTATAATTGCACTTTTTAGTTGGCAGCAATTTGTTTGTTTTCTGTTTTTCCATTTTTGTCTATTATTACAATGTACGTAAAGAATATTTTGATTAAATAAATAAAAGTTTAGAATTTCTAAGATTTTATTTAATTTTTGCCCAAATCTGCAATTTTATACTTTAATTCCAAAGCATATTTAATTACAACTTCTACCTTCGCCTTACCGTAATAGAATATTTTAAAGGTAATATACTATTAAAATATTCCTTGATAGATCGCAAATTTATATATTCTCTTCTCCAGTTATTATAATGGGGTATCAAATAGTCATCACTTCGGAGGGATTTCCATCACAAGGGTTATGGTAATGGCGTCCTTCTTACTGTTTCTTGATTTGCGAAATAATTCAAAATATTTTTTGAATTATCCTCTTTAAATAGAAGTAGAATGCAATATATTAAAATAGCAAAGTGGAACTTTGGTCTTACTTTGATTAATATTTTACATTGATTCTTATCTGTATAAAATGTGTCAATACAGAAATTAACTTATTCCTTACTCAGGTCAAAGATAAAGAATGTAAATCAACAACTTTATAAAAACCCTAGTTTAATAACATGGTGCAATTATTAAATGAATAAAACAAAATCTTATTCCTAATTGTTAAGGTTAATTAGAATTTTTCATTGGCAAACCATTGCCATTGCGTACATGTTATAAACAAAAGGAAATAAAATTTTATTTATTCATACGAGTATACACAAAAACAATTAACGTAATATAAATACAAAATAGTATTTATAAATACGTGCCATAGTGTGTTAATTAGGCGATCTCTTCATAGCAGAGGTAATATAAATATAAAGAATGGCATGAACACGAAATAACTAATTTTTAAAAAAAATTTAAAAATAACTTTTAAAAATGTAATACCTATACCAATTCGACTTAGGGTCCTTCAAGATAAGACCGTAACGCACTTGCCAGCCATCTGTTATTGAGAGTGTCCATGGGCGGCGGTATCACTTAACATCAGGTGAACCTCATGCCCGTTTGCCTCCTAATACATAAGATTAAAATTAATATAATATGTATAACCTAAAAAAAATTACCTATCAAATCATCTATATTTTAACAAAAATCGAATCCAGGACCTTTCGAATCCACTAAGAAGGTTAATTAAGGTCATAGCTAACGAGTAGATGAAATACAACGAATTTTTTAATAATAATTAGGTAATGTATTTGCAGCACGCACTTACGAGGGAGAAGAACTGACTAGAAACTCTGCTATATTTCTCTCTCTCTATATTTAATATCCAAGTCTTTGGTTTCTTTGGTAAGGAACTGCAACCATTACATTAGGCTTCACTAGATCTATTGAAACAAAATATCATAACAATAATAAGGTAGGGTATCAGAAAAACGCATTTACATTATATTGAGAACAATACCAGATACCCATTGTTGAAAAATTGTGATTAGTACAATTTTACGATGCAGTAAAATCAATAAAGTCTTAAAATATAAATTTATTAAATTAATGTAAATTTTGCAGATAATATGACGTAAAACAATACACAAGTCCCATGATGTTCTTAATTTGCATATGAAAAGTTTAAGTGTTTACAAGGATGTTATAATTTCATTGGACCTTATACTATATATGATACAACAAAATATTTTTTTTTATTTAATAATGTTTTAAGTTTTTTTGAAGTTATACTTCTTTAGGCGCGTTATGAAAAATTGATGAGGGTGAAATTTTACGATGCGCGCGCACCGTGACACAAAATTAACAGAATGAAGTTGCCCACGGAAGATGCTGCGGCATTGGACATAATTTAAAAACAACATTCGAATAATAATAGAATTTATTATTAATTTTTTTTTTCACTTAATGTAAGAGAATAATAATAAATATTTATTTATTTATTTTTTCAAATGTAAACTGAACTTTCTTGACTTAATGACTCCTTTTCCAGTCTTTGATTACTTGTGTCTTCTTGGGATTAAATTGGACTAGATTTAGTTGACCTCAGTCCGAGACTCCTCGTAGCAGGGTTTCGGCTTCAGACACAAGTTTGTTCCGGTACTGATCGACAACTGCCCAAAAATACCTGCATGACCAGTGTAAACATTATCATCTGTGCAGTCGCCCGCAAAGTAATGAATGTTACTTAGTTGCAACTTATCATAGAAGAAACATGGGTGAGGACAGGACACGGCCCGGGACTCCAGTATTCGCGGGTTTAAAGTCGGAACATGCTTCGTCGATGACGACCTTGATGCTCCGATGGACCAGAAAGCTGGAGATGCAGTCGCATAATTTCTCGGGGAGCCCTGGAGGGCAAAGGCTGGAGAAAAAAGAAGAAGGGAGAAGCCCTTTAGCAACGTAGCAACATCCGGTCGAAACTTTCGATATATACAAACTAACCGCTAGAGCCTCCCCGTTGGGCTCAATTGCCTCTGCCCATCTATATATTTTATATGTTGATCGAATTTAGATCCCCAGAGTTATATCGCAAAGACATAAATAATCCCTCAGGTAAATATTTTTATTAAATATTAAGAGTTTAGAATGTCTAATGTAACAAAGTCACATCACCTTAGAAAAAAACAATTTTGTCAGTCTATAGTCAATATATTTAATTTTAGTGGCTATATTATAATATATCTTCTGATATTGTGAACTTACGAGACTATTCATACATATAAAAATAAAATAAATCAGTGGCGCTACAACCTTTTTAGGTCTGGGACTTCGATTTATGTATCTGTTTCATGATAATTTGTTAATCTCATAGGCAAGTAGGTGATCAGTCTCCTCTGTGTACTGCCGAACCTACGACCTCAGGGATGATAGTCGCACGTTGAAGCCACTAGCATATAACATACATATAAGCAAATACATTATAACACATTTACATATAAATGTATGTAAACAGTTTTACGTTTTACCGAAACGGAATTGTTACCATTAAAATATTCCATACATTGCAATTTTATACTTTCGGCTCCACCCTCTATTCATTATAATAAGACATCAAATAGTCATCACTTGGGAGGGTATCGATTTCCATCACAAAGGTTATGGAAATGGCATCCTTCTTAAATGTTTCTTGATTTGCGAAATAATTCAAACATCTTTCTTTAATAACTCCCTTTGAATAAAAGTCCAACGTAATGTATTTTAATAACAAAGTGGAAATTTTATCTGTAAAAATGTGTCAATCGATGTTTTAATAAAGAAATGAACTTATTCATTAACGAGGTTAATGATACAGAATTTAAATTAATGACTTAGCTTTGACACAATCGTATTTGATAAATTTAAAAAAAATGTTTTTTTGTTCACAAAGCGATTTAATTATAACTATAGGTACACTTACGTTCTTTATTGTTTTAAATTTTACATATATTTATAACACTTTATTTTTATTAAAAAATAGTACACTAGTGTAATAACATTGTACAATTATTCAATTAACGAAACAAAATTGTATTCCTTATAAACTCTTAAATGTTTAATTTTGACTATTCTTATGTACAAAATGTACAAAATATTTCTTGAGGTTTCTTCACCGTAATGAAAATGTTTTCATGTCAAATGCAATATTTATTTAAATAGAAAACTTAATCTTCATTATAAATTAAAATATACAGAATCCTGGTACCTCTGGAAGTTTATCTATCTATATATATGTGGGTCCCTTTAAATCTAGAAAGTTCTCATATTAAAAAATATATTTTGGACAATTTATTATCATTACTATTATATTATATATTCTATTATATATTCTATTATAGCCTCTTTTCGGACATGACAGTATTTTTTTCTTTATTTTTCGTAGATTGTTCTTTTGTTCCACTTTTGCGTGTCCGTTTGCCAGGTGGCAAAGGCCTCCTCCAATCTTCTCCATTCTGGCCTTTCTATGGCCACTCTACACCATGTTGTTCCCGCGACTTGTATAATGTCGTCGACCCATCTTTTTTGTGGTCTACCTCTCTTTCTCTTTCCATCTCTTGGGTACCATTGTGTGATTATTTTACTCCATTTGTCTTTTGTATTTTAAAAGTTATGTCCTGTACCTTAGTCTTTCTTCTGATGTTGCTACTCCTTACTTTGTCTTTTCTTTTGATCCCAGTCATGCTCCTTTCCATGGCATGTTGACATACGGAGAGTTTATTTGTTACGTTTTTTGTTAAAGCCCATGTTTCGCTCCCGTAAGCCAGCACTGGCAGGATGCATGTGTTAAATAATTTGCTTTTCGTTGAATTGTGCAAACAGCTGGAAAAAAAATATTGGAGCCTAAAAGAAGTAATGAAAGACAAGACCCTACACAATTCAACGAATCATTACTATTACGAACATTCTAATATTCGCAATCGCAAACTCCTGAAACTGGAATCTTAAATGACAATCAGTGGAATGTTAATTAGCTTCTTAATTATTAAAACAATCAGCCCCAGCTTGACCCTTAAAATTGAGTGCGACAATACTTAGGCAAGCTCGTAAAGACTCGTTTACATGACAAAGTCGAGCTCGGGATGGGTAGAACATTATTATTCTACAGTTTCTACTATAGGTTCTCGCTTACATCTAATTGAAGCTAGCCAAAATGTATTCTTATAAATTGTTATAACTGTTATATAGACAATAACCTCTAACTAATTTTAATATATAAAATCTAAAATAC